GGTGACAATGTAGCAAACATAATGAAAAAGAAAGTTTTAAAAAAAGTATGTGTTACTAGATGGGAGGCAAGACATGATGCAGTGTATGCTTTAAAAGATAGATACATTGATGTTTTAAAATCATTAACTAACATTTCCTTGACCAGTCAAAAAACAGAAGAAAGAACAAAAAGCATTGGGATAAAAAATAAAATTGAATCTTTTGAATTTATTTTACTGTTAATAATTTGGGAAAATATTTTAAGACCGTTATACACTGTTTCTAAATTATTACAGTCCCCAAATACTACTCTTCATCAAGCTTGTGAATTGCTTGAAAATTGTGTCGGATCAATTAAAAGTTTAAGAACAAATTATAATGAAATTGTGACTTCATCAAAAATATTGTGTTCAAAATGGGGAATATCAACTCAACCTAAAAGCCGTCGTCGAGTGTTTACCAAAAAACATTTTGATGAAATTAATCATGTAGATGAGGATAGAAGAATTGATATAACTGAAGACAACTTTCGGGTGTCAGTGTTCTTACCTATTATTGATACTGCGTTGTCACAATTACAAGGAAGGTTTGAAGGAATGAAGACAGTACACAATAATTTTGAATTTTTAACTCCTTCTATGATACTAGATTCTGAAGAATCAGAATTGATAAAAACTGCATATGACTTTGTTCAGTTTTATCAAAACGATATAAGTTCTGATTTCCCTAGACAACTTTTATCACTTAAAGAAAATTTAAAAAATATGAAGTTGAAGACTATAAGAGATCTTAGTGATTTTTTTATAGAAAATGATCTTTGTTCAGTCTATAGTGACATTATGACTGCATGCATTATATTTTTAACACTACCAGTAACTGTAGCTTCGGCAGAACGCTCTTTTTCTAAATTAAAACTTATAAAAAATTACTTGAGGAATTCTGTTAGCCAAGAACGTTTATCACACATAGCTGTACTGAACATAGAAAAAAAGAAAACACAAGAATTAAATATTGAAAAAATAATCAACGATTTTGCTCATAATAAAGCTAGGAAAAAGAATTTTCTAAAATGATAATATTTGTACTCTTTTCTATTCCAGTTAGTGAATAATATAATATTATATAATTTTATTCTTTCAAATTTGTATTATAATACGAATGCTATTGTAATAAACTGTATTAAGGTACATAATTTTATGTTTTATTTATACTTAAAAATTAAAAAATATCAACTGAGATGAAAACACATATGGTTTTAGGTTTACATTTCGAATGGAGGCCTATGCATAAATTATTTGACTATTTTTGTAGGTAAAATTATTTAAAATAAAGTGATAAAAATAGTTTTGCTTTTTAAAATTTGTACTTGGTAGTTGGTATGCACTATGTATA